CGAAGACGACCGAGATGGCGTTCATTTGCAAGAAGTGTAAGAAGGCATTCAGGAAGGATATGTCAGCGTATGAAGAGAGCGATGAGTATTGTCCACACTGCGATAATCATTATGTACGTCCTCCACTTTATCAATTCATCCTGTCAACGGTCTTGATCTTCTGTGTTTTTAGGTGATTGAAGCTAAGACGCCTCAGGCTATCGTAGGAGTGGAAGGCGAGGATGCGAGGGTAGATAACAGGTATGTTAAGACGGCATCGCCGTAGAGATATTACTGATGATCGCTCTGTTATAATTTCTTAGGATGTTCAAAGACGATCGTCAGAAGCAGACAAAGAACCGGTCATTGTTCACAATAGATTCAGAATCCCTGACCGATAAATTGGGGTGATGTCTGTATCACATGCACCGAAAGTAATAAGCATAATGCACGAACTTATATTCTCGACACATCTAGTCCAACAAAAGTACATTCCATTTACCGCGTTGCATAGTAAGGGAGCAGTGATTATATCAGGTCTGGAGCCTTCTGGCTATCCCAACAGTAGGGGCCTAATTGGGGAGGAAGGTTTAGGAAATCACTAGGACCTTGTCTATCTGGGTGAGAGGGGCGCGCTACCTAATATCGGATTGTCAAAGAAGGATTTATGTAGCCACATCGTGTTGTGCTGTTTTTTAGGAATACCAATAACGTCCTTCTTAGCTCAGTTGGTAGAGCGCGTCACTAGTAATGACGAGGTCAGTCGTTCAAGTCGGCTAGAAGGAAATAAAATGATTGGGACTTTTTTTTTCTTTTCGCTCTATAACAATTGTTTTCAACAAAATTATTTCTGTGAGTTCTTGCCGGTATTTTGGCTACGCACTGAACTCTTACCATGCCGTTCTGGGTCGTCTGGTTTATAGCGGGCTTGATGACGCCCATCTCACGTGACCGCGTTTCTCTGTACCATGCATCAGGCCGAGCTTTGCAGTAGTTCCACACCATGTCGTTCGTAGAGGCCCCATATTATTCACTGGAGCCAACACAAGGCTCTCATTGGACCGCGGCTCAGGAGAAATCTATCGCCATTGACTTTCCTCTCGACTTGCAACAAGAGTCTCCTGGTCAATTCGTGACGCGAACTTATCTCCAATTTCTGTGGTTGCCTCAGGTGAGTATGCCCACCATATGTCCTTGTATCTCTCTGACATATCCAGCAGTCTGTTATGCCCCTTCAGCTACTTGTGCCGTCCGTACGTCGTGTGGCTACCCTGCCATCCTCTGGCCAATCTCCACATCCTCTGCATTCACTTTTGGACTCTTTACTTCAAACGACTCGCGCTATAGCCAACAAGTACCATGTGGAGCTTGTGCAAATTCTTCAAGACGGGGGAGGCGCTGGAGAAATGGAGGAGACTATGATGTGGTATGCGCTGCACAACGAGAAAACTGAGTCCAAGAGTGAGCCTTGGATGGAGGAAAAATGGAGACAAGAATGGCTGGAACGTTTAGAGAGGCGCGAGTACGTTTTGCGCTAACACACAGCTATGCGTATATTCTGACTTCTTGATAGGATTCAAATTCAGATTCTACTCTACATGACCAAACTATCTCTCCCTGGACCGGCTCCCGCTGCTGTTCAGCCCGGAAAACGGAAGCGCTCCAGAAAGGAGGCTGATCCGTCGCCGCCTACACCTGAGGAGCGCCTGGAAAGCTTCATGGATAAGCTGTCCGTACTACAACTGACAGGACACTTGGAGACGTCTGGCCCACAGCTAAACCACAATGAGAGGGACTGGGCACAGATATTCTGCGAGGATATCGTTGAACAAATGTAGGCTTTTCGCATCCCCCTGTACCACCTTGCTCACTGGGATTAGTTTTAAGCCTCAGTTACCAGAGTTATGTTCGCTCCTGAGGTCGAAGGTCTTCCCGGATTCCCTCTTCTCCGACACTGATACAGCGACTGCGTCGCGGTCTCCTTCTCCTGAAGTCAAAGACATACAAATCGAATCTAGAGGACCCTCCCCGACCCCCCCAGCCCCCCTTGGCCTGTCAAAGTCCGACTCGCGCTCCCTTGCTCGTGCTCGTTCGCGTTCACTTTCCGTTTCTCTTGCCCAAGAAAGGGAAGAGCGCGAACGATCAGTCGGTGTCGGTCCCAGCAAAAAACGGTTACTGAACCGGGAAGTCAGTATGTCGCGGGCGTTCAAGCCTAGGCCAAAAGCGGCTTCCAGAGCTGCCGATTCCGAGTCCCAGCACTCGGCTGGCAGCAAACTCAAACCTGAAAAGACCGAGATCATACTCGTTGAAGACACGCCTCAAAAACCTCGCATCGCGAATAGGAAGGGGTCCCAATCCCAATTTGACGTTAACCCATCGTCCAGCAGCCTTTTTGGCGTGCGGCAGAGTAATCAGAGCCTATTTAGCAGCACTATCAACGAGACTGATGATGATGACGCGTGGATGCTGGACAGTTCGCCTGATGTGCTGCTTCTTCATCCTGGACGCAAAGCTGGAGATGGTTCTGATGAGTACGAGGCAGTCACCTTCCAGACTCCAAGTAAGAAGCCACGCCGGCGCGAGTAGAAGGCGGATCAATTAGTAAATGTATGCCCTAGGTACGTCCACACCGCTGTACCTCCTGGCGTGTCAATCTAATAAGGAAATCAAGTAGCAATAACCTGAATGGTCCCGGCTAGAGGGGTGGTGTCAAGTCGCCCTTAAAGTGGCCGCAGCGGTACGACTCTGTCGATCGCGCAGCGCCCCTCTTCCAGTTAAAGAGAACGTAATTCGTCTGAACGATACCAGACGTTTGCATGACTATAAAGCTCCCTAGTGTTGATTGCTTTTTAGGCACCAAGGCTACTATTGTCCCATGGCCTCTCCACTGTGGTTATATGCACTGGCCCTCATCGTATCTGGGCTGGTTTGGTTACGGACGTCGAAAAGGGTGGCGTCAAGGCGGCGTCGACTGCTTTATCCTCCTGGACCCAAGGGTTACCCTCTGATTGGAAATCTTCTCCATCTTCCCTTGAAACATGCATGGCTGGTTTATGACGAATGGTTCAAAATTTACGGTTCGCAGTTTGTTTTCTTTCCCGTCATAAACTTTCATGCTCATGCTGTAACAGGCGACATGGTTTATTTGGAAGTCTTTGGCCAGTCTTTCCTAGTTCTTGGAACTCCCGAGCGTGCGCAAGATTTATTCGAGAAGCGGTCAGCTATATACTCAGATCGCCCCGAATTTGTGATGTTGAACGAAATGTCGGTATCTATCTACATCCTCAGTTGCATCTGTTAGACTGACTATATGGTTTGCAGGATGGGCTGGGACTTCAATTTCGCGTTAATGCGTTACGGACCTTGGTGGCGCCGTAACCGTCGCATGTTTCACCAATATTTTAACATGAACGAAGTCCACAAGTATGATGATATCCAGAGAGCCGAAACGCATGTCTTTTTGCAGCGGTTGTTAGATAGTCCGGAGGAGTTTATACATCACATCCGACAGTATGTTTCTTCTCTTCCATTTTGTACTCAATGCACTCAAATGTATACTTAATCAGTGCCATTGGAGCTGTCGTACTGAAAATCACCTATGGAATCTCTGTCCAGGAAGAAAATGATCCTTATATCCACAATGCTGAGGAGGCGTTTATTGGTGCCACAGAGGCTGGTGTTCCGGGGAGGTTCCTTGTAGAACTTATTCCCGCCATGAAGAAGATTCCGAGTTGGTTCCCCGGTACAGGGTGGAGGAGATGGGCAGAGTATTATTACAGTGTTAACCAGCGTATAATATATATGCCCTTCGAGTATGTACGAGGGACCCTGGTGAATACTTCATCTTACACACGTTCTCTGATGATGATTGACTCTCCTTGTAGGAGAAGGGTACCGAAGTACCGAGTGTTGCGGCCAGTTTGATCGAGAGGCTGCCTGCGGAAAATGCGCCAAACTGGGCGGAAGAAGAAAAGATTGCAAAGAATACGGCGGCCGTGGTCTACTCGAGTACGTTACTCCTTACATTCATCCTACCCGGGCTCAACTAATGTTTGTAGGCGCATCAGATACCGTGAGTCGAACAAAATACAAAGAGCCGACACGTCTCAGCACCTTTACAGACTGTCTCTACTATCCAAACTTTCTTCCTCGCAATGTGTCTTTATCCAGAAGTACAGAATAAAGCGCAGGAGGAACTTGATCGCGTTGTCGGAGGCCGTCTACCTGGGTTTAGTGACCGCGACTCTTTGCCCTATGTCAACGCAGTGATCAAGGAGTGTGTGCGGTGGCAACCTGCCGTTCCTCTCAGTAAGCGCCTTGGTTCCATAATTTGGAGTATCGATTCACTTAGCTGTTGTCACAGTTCCGCATACAAGCTCGGAGGACGACGAATACGATGGTTACTTCATCCCAAAAGGCACGATGGTGATAGGAAGCGCATGGTACGCCACACAACTTCCACGAGATGGGTTCCCTTCCCGTTCCATCCCCACTTAAAATTAACTCAGGTCGATGTTACATGACCCACAAGCCTATATCGAACCACATCAATATATGCCCGAACGTTTCCTTAAGGATGGGCGAATGGACTCCAACGTCCGAGACCCAGAGCTGGCATTCGGTTTCGGCCGACGTACGTGTGCAGGACGGCATCTGAGCAATCATTCCCTGTTCATTATTGTTGCCTCTGTCCTCGCAGCGTTTGATATCAAGCCTCCTCTAGGAGAGGATGGGAAACCAGTAGAGTTGAAGCCGAGGTACTCAAGTGGGCTCCTTTCGTACGTTTCTGGTTCAAGGCTTGGGTTGAAAGGTGGTGATCAGTACGCTGACATAGGCCTTTGCAGGTACCCTGAGCCTTTTGAGGCGAGGATTGTACCTCGGTCGGAGAAAGTGGAAACAATGTTGAGAGGTTCTGAACTGGCAGATTAAAAAATTAGCCAATTAATATACCATTCGAAGTTCCCCTCCAAAAGACGGGCTATGCCTTGAGGAGCCATAAAAAGAATGCCTTTTATACCTGATTCCCCCTAGCCGGATTGAACGACTGACCTCATCATACCTGTAAAGTACAAGTGATGCGCTCTACCACTGAGCTAAGAGGGACTCTATTCCGATGTCTAAATATTTACCTCCGTGCTTCCGTTACTTAGGGACCCACTCAAGTCGAACACGAAATAATACCTAATTATGAACAGCGCCGGCATCTAACATCCAATTGTTACCATAAATTCCTGCTACTTTTCGTTCCGGTCTCAGCGCTCTTCTTCAAATACCGCACTAGAATCCCCAATTATTGGTGTATTTGAAGTGATCGAAGGTCCGATGGTAGCCTTTGTATGGTATTAGTGGATTGTTCGTACGTAAAGTTAAGGCGGCGACACTCACCACGGATTCTTGGGAGTGCCTTTTTCGGGAACCGTCATCCCTACGTTCGAGGTCAACTGGTGCTTCCTCTTCTGGGATCGAGGGGCGCGAGTTGAGGCTGGCGATTGATGAAATACAGTATAAGAGTTCCGCCCAGATGTTTAGTCCAAGACTCACCAAGCAAGCATAGAGTTGGCGTACACTATCCACGTCAATAATCGTTATTCAATCCATGTCGCGAAGGCACGCTGAATACTCACAGTTTCCAACTATGTCATAAAGCGAGATGGAGTATAGGGTATAGGGGTCGGGGTGCACATTGAGCTGTGAAGTGTTCTCAGCTGCCTATGCTCTCCAGCGAGGGGCAACTACTGACCAACACTAGGACCACAATGTCTGTTAAGCTATCCATGAATTATAACCTGTCAGCCCATGGCAAGTATCACTCGGGCAATGAAATACCTGATCACAAGTCCAACGTTGACTATATAGGATACGATATTCTTGAGAAGTCTCCTAATAGACCTGCTCGGCTGTATGAGCACAATGAATAGCAGTGCTAGGAATATTTCACCTGCTACGTATCGGAACTTGCTTTTTCATCAGGACCACTAGCGAAATCGTGATGCTCCAGTCAACTGCAAAGGTACACCCGAATGCCCCCATCGTTAGGTCCTGGAAGTCTCTCAGAGGCAGTCGAGTTGGACTAATCTCATGGCACACGTACATCCGCCAGGTCCAAGTCCTGGTAGTGCCGTGCCATAATTCTGGCAAGGGGTTCAGTCATGAGGGTCTCAGTCCACGCGGTGTGGTAAACCTACGATAAGACATATGCAGCTTAACCATGCTTCATGAGTGCCCAATGTTCATGAGTAACAAGGACGGAACGTACCCATCCCAATCCCTGGAGCGTTTCGATTAGTCCGAGCATGGATAAGAACATAGTGACCAACCAAATCCCGTCATGGATGCAATCAACTAGAGCCTGGAGTCAGATTCCTGAATTGATTACTACCTGTTGGGACCCACAAGCAGGAGGGGAAACAAAAACGCTCGTCGAAGCACTGAATCCACTCAGTCTTTATTAATTCAGAGAGAAAATGCAACTCACAAGTCCAGATTTTGTGGATGTAGAAGAGATGCGTGAGAAGGGCGAGGCAAATCTGACTCCGGATCAACAGGGAATATCATGGATATATGATGGAGGCGAACTTACAGTGAATACCAGGATAATCTCCGAACGATCCAAGGTCAACATTGTCCGTAACTGTATGAATAGATGGCTTACTCGCACGCTCCTGGTTTATTCTGAGCGCCGTAAATTAAGAGGTAAGGCACGGGTTAGCTCACCAAGTCGGCTGCCCGATAGCAGATATATCGCCCCAACTTTTTATCGTTGTCAGGTAGGATCCTCGAATCCCAAGGATAAATTTCGCGAGTGTCAACGCCCTGGCCGAATTCAACCGTCGTTCGTATTTCTGAGAGCAGTCCTTCTCACCAGGTACTCGAGACCTGGAGAGACTGTTGACAATTTGTACGGCCAGCAAAGAAGCCGACATCGACTCACCGTAAGTTTGAGCATGGCGCGATCATCTGGAAACCTCGAGAAATATGTCCAACACTGTAGAGTGAATGCCCCGAATAGCCTAGAATCAAGACAGTCAGCAGTGAACGTCCCCCACACCTGGATCTACGAACCCTGCGGAGATAATTGTTGAGGTGAAGATAGCACCGAGCACCGGCTCAACAACATCCATTGAGGATAAACCAGACATGAACGGTAATGTGTTGTGTATAAGGGGACTGGGGAGCGCGGATGGAGTGCCTGTGGTTCTTTATCATAAGAGACAACTGCCACCCATCACTCACGAGTCGCAACGGACACGTAACAGAACCAATGGTGACCGTGCACAGGATCTTACGCAAATGACCCTGAGAGGATGTGGTGACTGCACGTTCCGGTTGGTCAGTCTTCACCTCCGATCGATCAGGAACACATTGCTGCCATCGTCACCAGGCTCATCCATAGCTTTATTTCCAACGAGAAATAACGCACTCAACTTCAACCTTCATGGGTCGGCTCAAGAACCCCGTCACAATGCTGCGGATGGAGTAAAAATAGATCGCTAAAGCTAAAATTACCGTCCTAAAATACACCCAGCGGACAGGTACGCGAGAAGGTCTACTGTGTGAAGATGTAGTGGGGCTGACGCCACGGGTGGCGTTCTGAGTGTTGGACAGGTCGTTCGGAACTATATATACCCGATGTCCCACGACATTATGACGGTAGAGGAGGCCAGTGAATCCTGACGTGAAGAAAAGTCCAATACTAGCCAATACTACCACATGTCCATCGGTTATCGAAATATGTTTAGTGGCAGGGGGATCTGATCTGATCTGCCTGGGTCTCATCACCTACGTATCTATTTAGTGTGTATATGGTGTTATGTCGCGTCCCGGACTTCAAAAGATTAAGACCAGAAATAATCGAGGCACACTGATCTGAAGTTATTTAACAACATGTTTCGAATAGAAGATGAAATCAAACCGTTGGAAGCGAAATACACATTAGACATGCATGTTATGCCAGAGACCTTGTCAAATCCATGCTGGAGCCCCCTATAATCTTCCCCATATGAGGCGCCGTTATATACAAAAATAAAACCACGCGCGCGAAAGATTGTCAGTTTGCGCACAAAATTTGAGCTCGTGAATTTACGCACACAGAACCACAGACTTGCGCACAACAAAATTTTGAGCCCATGAGTTTGTGCACACAGAATTAGACTTGTGCACACAGAATTTTGAGCCCATGAATTTGCGCACATAGAACTCTGAACTCATGAACTTGTGCACACAAAATTATGAACTTGCACAAAAAAACTTGAAGTCTATTAGATATATAAATAAGGGTAACTATCCAACTAATATCTCCTTGGGCCGTCTGTCTATAGGGTGGCTTAGGGGCCCTCAGTTCCTCATTTAATTAAAGAGTGAAGAGGCTGGGGCATCCAGAGCTTTACCAGACTAGAGGAAGAACTGTTCATCTGTAGGGATATACAAAGTCCCAATGTCACCAGACTCATTTCGGTCACAAATAAATCAATATTTGGTGTCAATGTGTTTTGTCTGATCATTGATATTGCCAGTGGCTCTCTTCCAGTATGGAGCATCAGAGCAGGACATGGCCTCTTCATAGGTGAGAGGGTCACGCTCTGGTGGTGCATTATGCGCTGATTCGTCGCCCACTGAAGTCTGAACAGGCT